AGGAGGAGGAGGAGGAGGAGGAGGAGGAGGAAGAGGAGGAGGAGCAGGCGACGCAGAGAAAAAAGGACGAACAATGATTGCGCTGCAACGCGCCACGTATTGCTCCCACGCAGGGAGCGGATACTGTTTCCCCCAGGACCTCCGACCAGAATCTCCAGGCGAATCCACCTGTGGAAGCGAGGGCCTCGCAGGAGGCCCAGGACTGCGAAAAAGAGGGCAGGGCAACGGCATCGGCGTCGGTACCTTTCCCTCCCCTGAACACCGCCACCGCGGCCCGGCGCACGCCCTGCAGCGGGCTCTGCAGCAGCCCGGCGGCCACCGGCGCGGCGCCCGCGAAGAACTCGCCCAACCGCCGCGCGCACTCCACCGTCGCGCGGCGCACCTGCTCGTGCTCGTCGCCTGGACGAAACCAAAAAATACGCACCTCACCGACACGTGCTCGCGTCGTCAACAAAAAGCACGGCGGGTTGTTCCCCACCCGACAGGCTGGGGTCGTCTGGCTTGAATCTCAGACCTCCCGGCCTGCCCACCCTGCATACCACGGCCGCCAGACCCCGACTGTCCCGCCGCTCGCGCCTGCGACGAGCACGACCAAACTGAACAGAGCAGCTCATACTAAAACATGGAACGCCAAAGCATGACCGAACAATGACACAACAAAGCATGGCAGGGCAACACATCGCATACCACAGCGGAACGTGACAAAGCATCAGACCTGTTCCCCGCATGACGAATCGGGGCCGTTCGCACTGGGCGCCGGTGCGGACGATGAAGGCCCGAGAGGGGGGCCCGCCGCGCTGACGGGGACGAGCCTGCGCGGACGCGGTCTGCGGCCACCGCGCAGCGAAAAATTGCTTCGGGCACTCCATCGGTCGTCGTGATCGTCGTCGTCGTCGTCGTCGTCATCGTCGTCATCGCCGTCGTCGTCGTCGTCGTCGATGTCGTGGTCGTCGTCATCGCTCCCCGCGCCCCGTCCCGCTGCGCCTCCCCGCCTCCACGTCGTTGTCGTCGCCGTCGTCGGCGGCGGCGGCGGCAGGGAAAAGAGGAGGAGGAGAAGGAGGAGGAGGAGGAGGAGGAGGAGAAGGAGGAGGATGGAGAGTGAGAAGGAGGATGTGCAAGATGAAGAGGATACTTTGTTAACGCGAGAGTAACACGGTTGAAATGCGTCTGAGGCCGCGCGACTAACACGGGCATGACAGGTGACACCCCTGTCGCGCCACCAGGCCAAAACAGCCGCTGAGAAGTGAGACGATTAAAAACTGCAGTGAGGCAGGCAAGGGAGGCAAATGTACCATTGAAGCCTGGTGCTCAAACGAGTCTGCATGTGCCCCGTCGGTCCGAGTACCCAAGCGGTACCCGAACCAACGAAGCAGAAAGAAGCTAAGCTGATTCAAGGTCGTTCTACAGACCACAACCCGGATAAAACATTGCAGAGGAGAAAAAAACATCAAGACAGCAGGCTTTGATGGAGCTGCGCGCAGATAGCTCGCATACTCAACTGTCAAAAGCCTGATGCTCCAAGAACACAGTTCATGGAAGCAGCCCCTACTTGCGCGCTTCACTGCCAGGCAGCCTGCCGCTTCCACGGGCAAGCACCGTTGAAACGGCCCCCCAATTGCACGCTAACCATGTCGCATTCGCGAACATCGTTCGCGACACGCGAGCGCGTAAGTCTCCCTCTCTCTGTCTCTCTGCCGACTGCGAGGCCAGGGCCGCAATGATATCCATGCAAACCCAGGCCGGAGTCGCGCGCAGCCAAAACGGCTTGATGGTGGACGGCACGGCGACTTAGTCCTGCGAGCCGTCCATGTTCTGGGTGAAGTTTCTGCGACGGGAGTTGGGCACAACCTGCTTGTGCCTCTCGTCGCTCAGCTTGACGGCATCGTGATCATAGCTGAGCTTCCCGTTCAAGATGTCGAGGACGAGTTCGCGGCCGATGCCCCCGTTCGTCATGGGGTCGGCCTCACGTTTCGCGTGTCGCACCAGAGCATATCTGCGATCTGATCGGTGCGGAGTTGGTCCGATAGCCACCGCGCGTGGCCTGCCATGCTGTTTCCTGAGGGCGGCCGAGCAGGATCCGTGGCCAAGGCCGCGGAGACGGACATCCCGTGCACGACCAGGGTTGCCGGTGCTGCATGTCCCCCCTCCTCTCTCAGCTTCCTGTTCTCGTTGGCTGAGGCTGGGCCACGGATCATCTCGCGGAACGCCCAAGGTAGGCTTGCAACCCATCAGCTGCACCGCGCGCCGCGAGCAGCTCGGAGCCGAAAAAAAAAGCTGCACGCAAGTTTGTGTGAGCGGCTCACCGCGTCGAGCAAGTGGCAGTTCTCCGTGCCGGTGCTGCGACGCATGGAGAGCTGCTGCAGCTGGTGCCCGGCCTCTACGGCTCGGCGTCACAACTGACGCGCGAGCGTCTCGCCCATGAGGCCGGCCCACGCACCTGGACCCACGACGACGCTGAGCTCGAGGAGGGGGGCTGGGCGCGGCTGCGATGCACCTGTGTGGCGCACTCGCTAGCTGAACCGCTGGTGGGCCACCAGGGAAGCACGTCTGCCCCGCCGTCTTGCGGTGAGCCTTGGGGCGACGGCTGTTCCCAGGTGGACGCAGGAGTTGTGAATGTGATTCCTCCGACTGGTGCGTCTCGTGGTGTGACCAGCACCCCGTCGCCATCGGGTGGTAAATAGTACTAGATGCTTCGCCGGGTGCGATGTCAACGTGGACGTGCGTGACCTCGCGCGCCACAGAGGCTGCTTGCGTTGGACACTGCGAGAAGGGTACTCGGGCTTGGTCGCCGCGAAATGCTTCTTCTACTGCTCGCTGCCGGGCATTGCTGTAGCTAGCGGCGGCCAGGGCGTCGACGCAGCTCCGATGGGAACGGCGACCACGGTGGAGGATGACTGCGAGGTCTAAATTGACGTACTGGTCCAAACAAATGCCGCACACTTCATCGGTGTCTACTTCTGTTCCCGTGACTGCTGAATCGGCACGTGGATCCGATTGTAGCGGCGGTGGTGATACGATTAAAGGTCCAGCCGCGACCATCTCAATCACCTGCTGGGCGCGCTCACGTCGGTGGGCACGTCGCTATTCCATCTGAGCGTCGCGTTCGGCCTCCCGTCTTGCCATGGATGACAGCTGGATGGAAATCTCGGGGGCCGAATCGTGTTTGACGTTGGTCCTGATCGCAACGGTCAGCGCTTCAGCTGGGTACTCATATCCGCGGCGTTGCCTCTTACAGGGCAGCTTTTGTTAGCTGACCTTGCCGGAGGCGTGCGACTTTACCGAAACCGCCGATGCGTGGGATAGCGATTCGCTGACTTTCGGGGCATGATGGTGGCCCCTGTGCTGCGCCGCTGGTCACCGAGGTTCATCCCGCGGAGGCCCCACAGAGCTGCCGTCCTCCAAGTGGCGCGCTGGCTGATGGACGAGCTCCGTCGGCAGTTTCTGGCGACTCCGCGGCGGCGGCGGCCGTGCCAGGGAACGGCTGCACTGGCATGTGCAACGGTCCTCGACCTGTGGGGTGCGATGGGTCGTCGGAGCGTCGTGGCATTCCCGTCGGCGGTTAGCTCCGCATCGCGTCGCCTGCAGCTGCCGTTGCACTCGCAACTGGACCTGTGTGCGTCTGGGGCGAATGACCCGTAGATTTGAAGAACAGCCACAAGCATAAATTCTTCATGGATTGGAAGGTGGTACCAACGCAGAAGCGAAGGAAAGTGCGAATGTGCGTCCGCATCGCACTCTTCGCACGTGCCGTGGATCGCGAGCTGGGATCGCTCCCAGCTCCGCTACCAAGTAGAATTGTAGGGGGTGGAAGCTGAACGAAAGAAAGGATTGCGGCAAAAAGATGTAGATCGCGGGCCTCTGTTACTCTCTTCAGTACAATATAATACTCGCCGGCGCTGGCGCCAAACGGCGACGAAGCATCCTACTAAAATGAGGAGGAGGAGGAGGAGGAGGAGGAGAAAGAGGAGGAGTAACAAAAAGGAGGAGGAGGAGGACAAGAACGAGGAGGAGAAGAACGAGGAGGAAGAGGAGGAGGAGGAGGAGGAGGAGGAGGAAGAGGAGGAGGAGGAGGGGTGGAGGAGGTGGGAGGAGAGCGGAGAGGAGGAGGGAGGAGGAGAATGAGAATGGGACATGGGGCGCAGTCCGAGCATTACGCCCTGTCGCTGCGGCGGCCGGCCCCGCCCGGCCGCCCCCGCCCGGCGGTGCGCCGAGCGGCCACGGCGCCGCGCGGCGGTCCGCCACGCGCGGGCTTCTGAAGGGGCCCCAGGACACACAAATAAATACACACAAATAAAAATATTCTCCATATTTTCCGATATTTTTTGGGGTTTTGTCTTCCCCCCCACTTCCCATATTTTCCTATATTTTCTGGGGGATCGACGATTAATTGTGTCTGTGTGTTTTTTTCCCTCCTGAGCTTCGGCCCAGGGCGACACCGAGGAGCCCTGGAGGCGGCGGGAGATCCCCCCAGCAGCGGCTCCTGGAGAGGGAGGCTCTCCAGCGGGGAAGGCCGAGGGGGGGCCCACGGGAGACTGCGCCGCCGAGGGGGTGCGGAACAGCGAAAACAGGGCCAGGGCCCCGGAACGATACGGCACGGCACGGCAGAGAAGAGGCGGCGACGGCGGAGGACACGACACGACGGACGACACGACACGACCACCCTGACCGCGCAGGGACGGCGCTGTTGGCGGCCATCCCGCACGGGAGCGGGGGCTTGTCGCTCCTAGGGCTCAACGCTCCGCGCCTGCGCCAGGAGGACCATGGGGTCCCTTCCCCTCCCCCTACGGGAGGGGCCCCCTCGGGGCGAAGGGAGGAGGAGGAGGAAGAGCAGGATGAGGAGGAGGAAGAGGAGGAGGATCAGGAGGATCAGGAGGAGGATGAGCAGGAGGAGGAGAAGGACGACTGAGCGAACGTCACCTGAGGGGCAGGTGAGGAGGACGAAGGAGAAGGAGGAGTAGGAGGAGGAGGAGGAGGAGGAAGAGGAGAAGGAGGAGGAAGAGGAGGAGGAGGAGAGGGAGGAGGATTGAGGAGGAGGAGGGGAGGAGGAGGTGGAGGAGGGAAGGAGGACGACGAATGAGCGCGAGTCCCCTGAGGGGCCAGGGGAGGTGGTCGAAGGAGGTGGAGGAGGCGGGGAAGGATGGTGGTAGGAGGAGGTGGAGGAGGAGGAGGGAGGAGGACGAGGAGGAGGAGGAGGAGGAAGGAGGAGGAGGAGGTAGGAAGAGGGGGAGGGAGGAGGAGGGGGAGGAGGAAGAGGAGGAGGAGGAGGCGAGGAAGGAGTGTACGTCATATTTCTCATCTCCCGATCGCCCAGTAGGCCGCCGAGCTGCGCGGCATAGGGCGCCGCCTCCGCGCCCATAGCGCCCAGCCGGCGCAGGGCGTCCAGCCGGCCGCCAACCGCGTCAGCGTCCTCGGAGAGCGCCTGGGCGACAAGGAAGCAGGCCGGCAGGTTGCCGTCCACGCCGCTGAGGCCCAGGCGCTCCTTTGGAGGAAGGGGGAAAAAAGGGTGGCCCATGGAGACGCAAATGAACAGACACAAATCCCAAGGTTCCCCTTTCTGTTGCTCCCATCGTGCTTAAGGACCACATTCCAAAAATCATTTCGAGCACGCGGAAAAGTGTCGAAAGAGTGTCGAACCAATGTCGAGACAGTGTCTCCCAGGGCCCGACACGTGAAAAACCTTGAGTTTCGGTACTTTTTGGGGCTCGAATTTCTCCCTGGTGATCAAGGCCAAAGTAGGTTGGAACATCATAAGGTTCCCTTCTGTGCACTTCCTGTATTTTCGTCTTCCCCTCCACTGCCTAAATGTTCCGGTATTTTCCTGGGCATCGACGCTTCTTTGTGCCTGTGCGTTTTTCCCCCTCCCGAGAAAACCCTCGACCCCCGCGCGTCGTGACAACCCAGAGCACGACGGAGGGTTCTGCACTACCTTCCGGCCCGAAGGGCCCCTGCCGGGCCTCGGGGCCGGCCAAAAACGACCGAGGACGAATCACCAGTCCCTGAAAAGAAAGGGTCCCAGACTCCAAACCCGACCTCCAAACCCGACCTCCAAACCCAGAGATCCGACCTCCAAGCCCAACCTCCAAACCCGGAGATGAAGGCGTCGCGTATTCTCGCCACCCCGGGGCGCCTCCGCCCGCCTCCGGGGGCCCCGGGTCCCTGGCAGCTCGACCCAGCTCGCACGCGGTGGTGGTGCAGACAGGTCGGGCCTGGCCGCGAGCGCCCCTCGACCTCTGCACCTCCCGCGCCTTCCGCGCGCGGCAGGCGCCGCGCTGCCGCGGCCGCAGCGGCGGCCGCCGTCCAGGCCGCAGCGGCGGCCGCGCCTGCTGCCGCGGCCGCGCCGCGGCGGCGCCTTCCCCGCGGCGGGCGCCGGCCGAGGAGCGGCGCCGAGATCCCGGCGCCGCAGACTCTTCACAGCGGCCGGGCGCCTCCGCCCGCCTGCGGGCCCTGGGGCCCTCGCAGATTGGTCCGGCTCGAAAAGCGGTGCAGAGTCTCAGCCAGCGTTGGCTCCAAATAGATACAGGAGGACCGGAGGAGGACGAGAGGAGGATGGGAGGAGGACGAGAGGAGGGGAGCAGGACGGGACGGGCACAAGCAAGCAAGCGCAAGCAAGCAGGCGGAAGCAAGCAAGCGCAAGCGAGCAATGACAAGCGAGCAAGAGCCAGCGATTAAGTGCAAGCAAGCAAGGGCAAGCAAGGGCAAGCAAGAGCAAGCAAGGGCAAGCGATCAAATGCAAGCAAGCAAGGGCAAGCAAGGAGTGCCGTTGGAAATAAGGGGGGGCCATTGGAAAAAGGTGGGGGCGGGGAAGGGGGGGGAGCATTGGAAATAAGGGGGGGCCATTGGAAAAGGGGGGGTCCTAAAGACCAATTACTTGTGATGAGCAAGGACTCCTATAGGACAAGCCTATTTGGAGAAAGATGGGGTCTAGGGTCTAGGGCCCGGGTGGTGATTTTTTGCTGCGGCGCCAGATCTGAATGAACTTTGTCGCTGTTTTTGACGCATGGGGGGGCCCTCACCAGGCCTCGCGACCGTCAGCAAATTGCTCACGCTGAACAACGAGCACCCAGCAAAGGGTCCAGACCTCTGGGGAGCCACGCTGCGAAAAAGTCACGACGGAGGACGTCTGGTAACGGCACAAACGGAAACTTTCGAAACTCCACGCGGACTTCTTGGGTCGGCGCCGGACCCCCCTTCAGCGCCGCCGTTGGCGGCCCCGGCGCGCCCCGCGCGGCAGGGAGGGGGGTCCAGCGCCGATCCAAGGAGTCCGCGCGCAGCTCCGAAAATGTATGCTTCTGCAGTTGTTTTTTTTGCTCTGGGAGCTCCAGCAGGCTCACCGCCTCCCCGCGGATCTCCGCGCTCTTGTCGGTGAGCGCGGGCTCGACCAGGGGCTGCAGCAGCCTGCAGGCCGCCTCTGTATATCGCTCGCGACCGCGCCCGGGACCCGCCCTGCCCCCCACTCCCCCTCCCCCTGACTCCGGATCCGCCCTACTTTGGGGAAATTCGTAAGTAGGGCTTGGAATTTCCGCCTTACTTTTCAAGCCCCGCTGATGCCAGTTTCCGCCCTACTTTTCTGTTGCTGTTTCCGCCCTACTTCCGTGGATTTCCGCCCTGTTTTATGTTGGGTGCAAAAATTTCTGCCCTACTTTTTCGGCCTCTTATAGGTGGATTTCCGACGCAATTTCAAGTTGGGAAGACAGCCAAAGTAGGGCGGATCTGGAGTCAGGGCCCCCCGTGGTCACGCCGCGACTCGCGCCGGCGCCGTGTGGGAGAACCGACCATGCCGCCGCATCCCCAGACGGCGCCCCCGCTCGAATCGCGGCGTGAGCGGCCGTCCCCCCCGCCCTCCGCACCCTCCCCCGGCCACCGCCTTGTGAGAGCGCCAGGGAGCGCACAGGCGCCCTATCCGGAGCGCGTGCTCCGGCCCGCCGGGGTCCGATGCCGGCCTGTGGAGCATCGACGGCGAAGCGTGACGTAAGCGGCCATCCCCCCCCAGGAGGAGGAGGAGGAGGAGGAGGAGGAGGAGGAGGAGGAGGAGGAGGAGGAGGCGAGGGAGGAGGAGAGGGAGGAGAGAGGGAGGAGGAGAGGGAGGAGGAGGAGGAGGAGAGGAGGAGGGAGGAGGAGGAGGAGGAGGAGAAGGAGTAGGAGGAGGAGGAGGAGGAGGAGGAGGATGGGAGACGCCCAAGGACTGCGGGCGGCCTCTCACAAGGTCTCGGGCTGCCGGGCCCCCTCCGCCCTCCCCTGAGGTGCGACGTGTAGCGAAAAATTGCAACATCGTGACAATCCGCGCGGGGCCCCGGACCCCATCTTTCTGCGCCATTTTTCGGGCCCGGTCGATCTGAGAGGGTCCCGGGACCCGAAAAAAAACGAAAACGCCCTGCTCGAAAAAATTGGGTCGCCAACATCTCAGGGTCCCCTGGTCACGCCCATGATCGCCAAGGACGTAAAAAGGCGCCCTCCTGAGCGCGTGCTCCGGCCCGGTGGGGTCTGACGCCGACATGTGGAGCATCGCCGCCCTCGCCGCCCTGCGGACCTCGCCGCTCTCGTGCCGGATCCACCTGAGCAACGAGAAACAGGTCTCACGCGAGGTGACATACGGCCGAAACTATGAGCAAGAAACCAGCATCCTGGAAGCTTCTTGAAGCAAGCCTGGGCCAATGCCTGTTGTTCACGCTGGAGGGGCGAACGTGCTCAAGAAACTGGGCCAGTTTTCTGGCAAGTTGGCTACGAAACGCCAGCCCACCTTTTCGGGCGGAAGTTTCTGGATCAGATGTTCGACTGTAGCGACCTCACGCCGCGGCTCACGCGTGTCGCCAGCGCGGCACGCTACTTTGGAAACGAGGACGCGTATGCGCGACCTTCCGCGGGAAGCTTGCGCACGAATGTAGGCGCAATCGTGATAAACAACTCCAGGCGAATTGGATAAACACTTGTCCGGAGAGCTTCATCACACTTGCCCCTGCAGTCAAAACTGATAGCAAGGATGCGCGGTGAGGATGCAAGCCCCCTGTACGCCCATGTCGAGGCTCTTCGAGCGGGTCGGCCATCGAAAGTGGTTAAGGATGAGCCGAAGAGGCGAGGATGCAAGGGTGTCCTGGGGAAGATTACCCGCCCCTATCGTCGACTTCGACTGTATCGCACTTGCCCGTTCCCCTGCGTCGCTCACCTGGGCGACGATCAAAGAAGGGTCCTACGCAAGATGGCACAGCAACCTTGCGCCACGGCTTACGCGGACCAGAAGCGCGGCACGCCACACTTGAAGACGAGGGCACTCACGCAGGGCAGCTCCTCCTCCTCCTCCTCCTCCTCCTCCTCCTCCTCCTCCTCCTCCTCCTCCTCCTCCCCCTCCCCCTCCCCCTCCTCCTCCTCCTCCTCCTCCTCCTCCTCCTCCTCCTCCTCGTCATCCTCATCCTCATCCTCCTCCTCCTCCTCCTCCACCTCCTCCTCCTCCTCCTCCTCCTCCTCCTCCTCCTCCTCCTCCTCCTCCTCCTCCTCCTCGCGCGACCCCACGCGGGCAGCTCACGCGCGTGCTTTCTGCCTGCGCCGCTCGCCTGGCGGCGTGCTCGCCGGCGGCCTCCGCCCCCAGCCCGCCGAGGGCCTCCTCCCCCGCCGTGCGCACGGTGGCGTCCGGGTCCAGCAGCAGCTGCGCGAGGTCGCCGGCGAGCGCGGCGGCCTGGGGTCGGGTCGGGCGTGTCCCCCTAGAGGCGGATTTGGGAGGAATCATAAGAAGCACTCAACAAATATTCAAAACCTGTTATATTAAAAAAAGCATGCTCAAGGAATCGTCCCCAGACTAGTGCTGGACCACGTTTGAACATGTGCCCGACTCAGGCCTGGAGCGACCCCGCGGCGGAGGCAGCGGCCGCCCGCTCGAGCGAGTTCGGGTGCTGCAGCTTGGCCCTGATCAGCCCCACGTACTCTCCGTCCGCGCTGCCGACCTGGCCATGTCTGCCAAGCCCCCCCCCAAGAAAAACCCGCCCGAAGTCGCCGCGGGGCTCGTCGGCTTCTGGTGTGGGGGGGGGGGCACTCCAGAGCATCGAGGGGCCACGATGGAACCCGTTACATCCCCCAACCCGGGGTGGCTGATGGCGACGACGACGACGACGATGATGATGACGATGACAATGATGACAAGGACGATGACAATGATGACAACGATGACAATGATGACAAGGACGATGACACTGATGATGACGATGACAATGATGCTGATGCTGATGCTGATGATGATGATGCTGATGCTGATGATGATGATGATGATGATGATGATGATGATGCTAATGATGATGATGATGATGATGATGATGAGGATGATGATGATGATGATGATGATGATGATGATGATGATGATGATGATGGTGGTGGTGATGATGATGAGGATGAGGATGAGGATGATGATGATGATGATGATGATGATGATGATGATGATGATGATGATGATGATGATGATGATGATGATGATGATGGTGGTGTGGTGGTGTTGGTGTGGTGGTGGTGGTGGTGAGTGGTGATGATGATGATGATGATGATGATGATGATGATGATGATGATGATGATGATGATGATGATGATGATGATGCTGCTGATGACGACGATGATGATACGATGGGACCCGTACACCGTACACCCCCCAACCCGGGGTGGCTTGGTGAGTTAAGCAGTGCCGACCTCGCCCAGCAGGGACAGCGCGCCGATGCGGATCTCGATGTCGCTGTCGTCGAGCGCCTGCACGAGGGCCGGCACGTGCGCGGCCGCCGCCTCCGAGGGCAGGCGCGCCAGCAGGCCCCTCATGGCCCTCAGCGAGCCGAGCCTCTCGACCCGGCTGGTGCTGCCCAGCCCGTCGGCCAGGTCCTCCGCGTCCCTCTCGGCCAGGCCCTCCTCGGGCGCGGCCTGGCCGACCCCGGGAGCCGAACCCATCCCATCCCCCCCCCCCCCCCCCTCTCGGGAGGCCCCCCTTCGGGAGGCCCCCCCTCGCGCCGTGTGCCCTCGCGCGCGCCCTCGCGCTCTCGCTTCCCCTGCCAAAAGCCCTGCGGCGGCGACCCTTCCCCGCGCGGGGGCGGCCCGCTCCCGCCTCCCCCCCCCTCCCCCGAGAGGCGGGGCGGGGCGGGGGCGGGGGGGGGGGCGCCGCGCCAGGGGGGCGCTGGGCCGCAGGGGCCGCTCCGGCCGCCCCCCGGGGCCTCTTCCGTGGCCGCCGACAGCGCCGTGGAGGACGGCGCCCGCTCCTGCCCCGCCCCCTCGAGCTCGGGGCCCTCCGCCCCGGCCCGCAACGAGAGCGCCGCGGAGAGGCGCCCCGGGCCTGCGGGGCGCTGCTGCAGCAGCGCCGCCGCCTCGGGGGGGGGGGGGGCAGAAAAGCACCCGCACCCAAAAACTCCCTCTCCCTCCTCTCCCTTCCTTTCCTCTCCTTCCCCCCCTCATTCTCCTCCTCCTTCTGCTCCTCCTCCTCTCTCCTCCCTCCTCCTCCTCCTCCTCCTCCTCCTCCTCCTCCTCCTCTCTCCTCCTCCTCCTCCCTGGGTTTCCGATCAACGTTTTTATTGTGGATCCACGATCATGATCGCGGATCCACGATCGTGATCGCGGATCTTGAAATCCCCGATCGTAGATCGTGAATCCACGATTGTGATCGAGGATCCACGATCGTGATCGCGGATCCTGATATGTCCGATCGTAGATCGGGGATCCACGGTCGTGGTCAAGGATCCACGACCGTGATCGCGGATCCGCGATCGTGATCGAGCACCCACGATCGTGATGTATACGCACATACATGTACAAATATATAATATAATATATACATATATACATACATATGTATACATTAAAGCATATAAGTGTGGTATATGGTGTATATATACACGTTCATACGCGTACGTGCGTGTATGCACGTGCGTGATATGCATGCGTATCCGCACATAATCATTTACATAGACATACAAACACATACACATACATATATGTATACATATTTACACATAAACATATACATATACATAATGTACACCTAGTGCCAAAAGGAAGCTACCTAAAGGGGCGCCCGCAGTGAAGGGGAACAAACGCGTGGATCCCAAACAGTGAGCGCCAGGGGGAACGACGGGGCGGAAGGCCACGGCGGAGCCAAGCGGATTATAGAGGATAGAGGCTCAGGATTCCTTCATTTTTTGCAGCGACCACGTGATGACCAAAGCCATGACTACGCTACGCGTCGGTAAGCTATTGTTTTTCTCACAGGCGGTGCCTGCATATGATTGACCTGTGCAAGTACTTTGCGTGACAGCGCTCGGCCACATGAATCGCATCACCTATCGCCGATTCGTCGGCGCAACACCAAAAATCAGCTGCCGACCCATACTTTGGCACCTCTCTTTCGAACAATTCAACGAATTGATGGAACTCCGGGTAAAATTTATACCGCGTGAAAGATCCATTTAAATTCTCTGTCATTGCCCATTTGTTAAGTTCACCGTAGAGCGTGACAAACACACGTGCCCATCTTGCACACTTCGGCGGCGAAGCATAGCGGTCCCATCGGGGCAGTTCAGCGTATATATGATGAACAGCATCCACACAATCGAAAACGAGCTGTTCGCGGGCATCTCGGGGGGGGAAGAACCGCTCAATGAGGAGCCGCGTGCATTTTAGCAGCCTGCGGGTTTCAGATGCCTTCAACTGCATTTTCGGGTTGTTCCCACTTGTCCTGATCATATTCATTGTGATCCAATTCCATGGCGGGCTCTCCAAACCAAGGCTCTTAGAACAAATCGACATCAAGAGCGCTAAGTGGCCTAATGTCTCACACGGGCGCGAGAAAACACCGCCCATGCGATCAAACATCTCGAGCAATACGTTGGCGAGAAAATATTGCAAACACCCTAGGTCCCCTGCGTGTATTAAATCTATAGTCGCGTTGTCCAATATAAAGCCTGGCATGCTCCAGAAGGGGCTCGCATATCGGAAGCCAGATAGCACTTCAAGTCGAAACGAGAAGTCGGAAACAGAAGTCGCCCGCCACGCGGCCGCGAGGGACGCATCTGTGCATGGGGAATTCCGTGTTATAGCCAGCGTTGCATTTCCAACATGCAATTTTACTGTCGCCTTCCCCGCCCCACCCAGATACGCCGAGAAACTGTTGCATCCATGACCAATCACCTTTTTTTGGCACGCGCCCATGCGCACCCGAAGCGAATCTCCTTTGCGAGCTCTTGCGGCCCGCCATCTGTCACCTGGAGCTGCTCAGGGACTTGCACCTTACTCCCCCCCGCCCCCTCGCCCGCGCATTTTTGGGGATATTTTTGAGAGCGAGATGTGCGTCGTGGAGAAAAGGGGAGGGGAGGGCGACGGGGAGTGGCATGAAGATGAGGCAAGGTAAGGCAAGGCAAGAGCCGTCAGAGGTCGATGCATCTTAGGATCTGTTAAGCATTCCCCCCTCCCCCCAGCGGAGGAGGAATGCTGCAAAGCAGTTGCCGATACTGTGACCTCACCTGAGACTAGGCCTACATGCGGGGGCGAGGAGGAGGAGGAGGGGGAGGACGAGGGGGAGCGGGATGCAAGGTACATGTCCCCGCGGCCTGGCAGCTTGGAGTCTGCAAAGCGGACTCCGTCATGCCTCGTCGATGGCCACTTGCCTGTCAGGGGGGCCTCCATCGCCCACACCAGAACCCGAACAAAGGAATCGAATGTGTGCCGTCCGCGGCACCCACAACCGCAACGCACTCGCTTTCCCCACGATGCGAACCAGTGCCGGGCGCGGTCAGCCCCGCCGATTGGGCCCCACAACATAAGACAGATGCTGTCGCGCGTCAAGAACCCAGCAGAATCGCCCCACGCAGAAATTGAAACAACAGAACTGGCCGCATCTGGATGTAAGTCAACTCGCTGACACCACTCTTCACGAATCCGAAAAACGGGGTGGTCATCTTCGATGTGCGTAAAATGATCGACGCCATGTTTGTCAATCTCGTATTCCATTACTTCGTGAGGCAACGGGAAAATACGTCATCTTCGAATGACTCCGCATTGAGAGGGTCCCAAACACACACACTTGGCAACGTAAACGCGTGGCCTTTCAGATCTCTTCGAAAGGCAGCGAACTAAATATCTGGAAATGTTTCTCTCGTGCTTACCAGACGAACCACAACGTGACATGTGAACATCCCCACCCTTCTCTTTTGAAGCCGCCACTCTCACATCTTTAGCTGACAATTGGCCTCGCTTGTATTTTGAACGCAACCACTCAGACAGATCGGTGCCGACGGTAGGTTTCACAGCCTTCGCGAATTTCGAGCGGCCAATCACTTTTGTTGACTTGCTCGTCAGACCAAGCTGTTGCCGAATCCCCATTGCGAGAAACACAGGCAGGAATAGCAAACGACACATCATCATTGCCAGTCTGTCGGAGTGGTTTGGGCCACAACGGCTTCGGATGCTAAGGGCGATCACGATGTTCCCACCTTCGGTCCCCCTTGGTCTCCATGGTCCCCCCTGGGTCCCCCTGGGCCCCCTTTGGTACCACTCCTCGGTCCTCCTTGGCCCCCTTGGTCCCCTTGGTTCCCCTGGGCCCCCCTTGGCCCCCCAGGAGGTCGCGTTTCGGGGCGGGGGCCCAGAGGTCCAACCCAATGTGACGATGGCGGATGCTTTAATCGTTGACCATGGCGGATGATGGCAACGATGACGACGACGCAGGCAACCCAAAAGGAGAGGCCCAACAGGAGATCGCCTTTCGGGGCGGGGGCCCAGAGGCCCACCTGGGCACCCAAGGCAGGCGCCCAAGGGGAAGCCAAGGCGGGGCCCCAATGCGACGACGGTGGATGCTTTAAGCGTCGACGGCGGATGACAATAACGATGGCGACGACGCAGGGAACCCACAAGAGGCCCAAGGGGAGATCGCGTTTCGGGGCGGGAGCCCAGAGGTCCAACTGGGCACCAAAGGCGGGCGCCCAAGGCGAGGCCCAGGGGGAAGGCAAGGAGGGGGTGTAAATATTTTCCCGAAGCAAAATCCAAACCAGAACTTTTGCCCAAAGTTCTGGTTTGGATTTTCGAACGTAGCCCCCCCGAAGGTAGTAGGTTGCTGGTGGTAATGATGGTGATGATGATGTTGTCAGCTCTGATGTAGTAATAATGGCGCGGCTGGGTGATGCAACATTTTTTTGTCGGCGGACGGCGAGCTAGCTGCCCCGGAGCTTGCCGAGGCCCCCTGTTTGGTGAGTAGTGTAGTGTGCACACTCTGTCGCTGGCAACTCCGACGCTGCTTACTTCTTGAACTTGAGGAACTCGCCCAACGTGTTAGTCTTGAACGAGTCGTACTCCCTCTTCTTCTCGGTGAGCATGGCTTTGGCCGACGCGGAGTCTACGTCCCTCTCCTGGTTGTTGGCGTGCGTCTTACCCTTCGTCTCCGCCCAGAAGTTGAACGCCTGACCCATTTCAGTCCTCATCTTGTCCACGGCCTCCTTCAGGTAGTCGGTCGCTGCGCCGCCCCAAGCCTTCGAGGCCAGCTTCTGCTCGATGAGCTTCGCCTCGTCCAGCTCCTTCTTCGACGTGTCGTAGAACTTCTTCAACTCACTCAGCTCCTTCGCCAAGCTCTCCTGCGAAGCCTTGGTCGCTGGATCGGGCCCAGCGGGCGGGTCGGGGTCGGTCGCGGCTGGCGTGGCGCGTCTGCTTTGACGCTGTCTCTTCATCGGTGGCTTGGTGGAGCCATCAGCCGACGAGGGCCCAGACAAGTCCTTATCTTTCAGCACGTTCGCCACGGGCTCGAACTCCTCAGCGGAAAGCTCAACTTGTTTTGCGAGCTCCGCACTCTCCTTGAGGACCTTCTCGAAGACCTCCTCTGTGACCTCCACCCTGAACTGTTGCACTCCAATATCCGCCAGCTTCTTGTTCTCGTGGGGTCGACTAGGCTCGCCCTCCAAGGCGATTTTCGCGTGCTCCATGCTGTTCAAGAAGAGCGGCCCCCCGTACTGCTCCAACGTGACCCAGAGGGCCTTCTTGGTCGTCTTCTCGATCACCTCGCGGCTGGCTTTGTTGGTCATGGTGCCGCCGCTCTTCGGGTCGATCATGAAGCTGGCCAGGTACTCCCTCTTGTCGTTATCGTCCTGTAAGTTCTTGAACAGCACCGCCTTATCCTGGAACCTGGTATTGAGGGCGGTGTTCAGTGAGCTGAGAGCCTTCACGCGAAGCGCGTGAGGGAGCGAAGCCAGGTTCTCGCCAGTCACCTCCAGCCCCTGGGCCTTGAGCGCCTCGGCGGCTTCCATCATCGGCTTCGGGAGCTGGTCAGCGGGGCGCTTCGGCGGCATGCTGCACAAGTGACTTGGCCGAGGTTCGGAACCGTGGTCAGCTT